CAGGTGTCTCCACAGCAAAATTAATAAGAATTTTGTGGGGGGCTGCTGTGCAACTATATAATATATAATATCCTGTTCCCATGAAACTTATGCCAACTAGTTTTAGCATTCTTGATAATTCTTGTCTGAATCAGTTATTCCTATACTATTAATAATTGCCAAAAGGTGACTTTCTTATTCCATCATTCTTTCTATATTTATAATTACTATTCTACCATAAGGTAGAACTGTCCCTTCTCCCCTACTGATTTATTTATTTAGTCCTTTGCTTGTTTGTTCATTCGTAGATACATCAGTGTGGACTACTCATAGATTCCTATTTTATTCTATGATTACAACTCATTCTTACTATTATATATTTTGATGTTTCAATTGCCCCAGTTTAGCCATGGCCACTCCTTCAAGCTGGATCCTGTGTCCTTTTGACATGTTCCCATCATTCTCTGAGCACTCCCATATTTTCTGGCACCACAAGATGTTCCAGCCTCACCTTGTATTTTCCCAGCCCCAGCCCTAGAACAAGTCAGCTGGGTAAGTGGCCCTAGTTCCATTTAGTAGAGAATGGTATTCAGAAACCAAGATCCAGGCACCAGTATACTCTTTATTACTGGAGTGTTCCTGCTTCAGGGCCCTATCAAGGACAGTACATGAATGGCCCTCTCCACATTCATCATTCTATAGCATGAGTTCACACTGATGTCTCCAATCCCAACCCACCCCCACAGGTTTTATTCCAGCCTTCCACATATATACTTCCTTTCTTCCCCAGTGAGAAACTTGCCTCTCATAATTCTCAATATAGTCCGTCATTTGTTCAGGACCTCTGTGAGTAACCAGCCTGCCACTGCACACATGGTTGTCACTCAGATGGGGTCTTCCTCTCTCCCTTCACCTCAGCCAGTCCCAGGCAGAGAAAGGCCTTCTCCCAACTCTCTGGATTTTAATTTTAATACATTTATTTTCAAGTGGTAAGAGTGAAACAAATGACCAGCAAACATGAAAAGATGCTCAACCTCATTAGTAGTTAAACAAATGCAAATTAAAATTCAAAAGAAGGCTTGGTAATGCAAAAAATTTAAAAGGGTTGGCGGGCACAGTGGCTCACACCTATAATCCCAGCACTTTGGGAGGCCGAGGCGGGTGGATCATGAGGTCAAGAGATCGAGACCATCCTGGTCAACAAGGTGAAACCCCGTCTTTACTAAAAATACAAAAATTAGCTGGGCATGGTGGTGTGCGCCTGTAGTCCCAGCTACTCAGGAGGCTGAGGCAGGAGAATTGCCTGAACCCAGGAGGTGGAAGTTGCAGTGAGCCGAGATCACGCCATTGCACTCCAGCCTGGGTAACAACTCTGTCTCAAAAAAAAATAAAAGGGTAGTTCCATACTTTCATTTTGTAAATGGGAAAATGTGGCTAAGAAATAATTGTTTGGCCGGGCGCGGTGGCTCACGCCTGTAATCCTAGCACTTTGGGAGGCCGAGGTGGATGGATCACCTGAGGTCAGGAGTTCAAGACCAGCCTGGCCATCATGGTGAAACCCCATCTTTAAAAAAAAAAAAAAGTAATAATAATAATTGTTTAAGGTCAGGAAACTAGTAGCTAATGGATAGGACTCAGAACTTTGACTCTACTGCCTCAAGGCTGAGGGAGCATCTTCTATATGCTACATGTTTTCCTGTAACTTTTATTATTATTATTTTAATTTTTTGTAGCCACGGAGTCTGGCTATGGTGCCCAGGATGGTCTTGAACTCCTGGCCTCAGCAGTCCTTCTGCCTCTGCCTCCCAAAGTGCTGGGATTACAAGTGGTGAAGTAAGAGGATCGATTGGGCCCACCTGGCCACCTGTAACTTTATATATTTTCCCACCAACGCTGTGTCACAGATGATGTTAATAATCCCATTTATGTGAACAAACCTAGACTTAGGGGCATTAAGCAAGCTTGCTTCAAGTCATACAACTGGCAGGTGAGCTGGACAGCATGAAGATTTACTCAAAACCTGCACTTTATTTTTATTTATTTCTTTTTTTGAGATGGAATCTCACTGTCGCCCAGACTGAAGTACAGTAGCATGATCTTGACTCACTGCAACCTCCACCTCCCAGGTCAAGTGATTATCTTGCCTCAGCCTCCCGAGTAGCTGGGACTACAGGCATACCCTGCCACTCCCAACTCATTTTTTTTTTTTTGAATTTTAGTAGAGATGAGGTTTCACCGTGTTCCCCAGGCTGGTCTTGAACTCCTGAGCTCAGGCAGTCCACGGCCTCAGCCTCCCTACTTTTTAGCTCTTTAATTGATTTTTCTGTCCTTTGGTCCACCTCCAAAAGTGTTTTACTGACTCCAAATGCGCCTAAAGTAAGCAGTTTGCCTCAAATAATATTAAAGAGCTACTTTAAGGCAGGCCCTCCTCTGTGACAGTGTGGTTTCAGAGACCCAGGAAAGTTCTTAAATATCTCCGGTACTAGTATCTGAGGGAACCCAGCTTTTCCTTCTTCAGTTAGAGATGAGATTTTAAACACAGCACTCCTTTTTTCCTATATGAGTCATGTTAGATTCTTTTTTTGTTTGTTTTTTGAGATGGAGTCTTGCTCTGTTGCCCAGGCTGGAGTGCAATGGCATGATCTCAGCCCACTGCAACCTCTGCCTCCTGGGTTCAAGTGATTTTCCCTGCCTCAGCCTCCTAAGTAGCTGGGATTAAAGGCCACTGCCACGATGCCCCGCTAATGTTTGTATTTTTTCAGTAGAAATGGGGTTTTGCCATGTTGGCCAGGCTAGTCTGGAACTCCTGACCTCAGGTGATCTTCCTGCCTCAACCTCCCAAAGTGCTGAGCTGTCGTGCCTGGCAGAATGTACTTTTCATATGCTGTTAGGAGATTGGCTCTTCACCTCAGTCATCTTCCTCTCAAATTCCGCAATCCCAATGTAATAATTAGAAAAACACCAGCCAGGCACAGTGGCTCATGCTTGTAATCCCAGCACTTTGGGAGGCTGAGGCAGGTGGATCATGAGGTCAAGAGATTGAGACCATCCTGGTCAACATGGTGAAACCCCGTCCCTACTAAACATACAAAAAATTGCTGGGCTTGGTGGCGAGTGCCTGTAGTCCCACCCAGCTACTTGGGAGGTGGAGGCAGGAGGATCACTTGAACCTGGCAGGCAGAGGTTGCAGTGAGCCAAGATTGTGCCATTGCACTACAGCTTGGCGACAGAGTAAGATTCCATCTTAAAAAAAGAGAGAGAAAAAAGAAAAACACCAAACAAATTCTAATTGTGAGACATTCTACAAAACACCTGACCATTATTACTTAAACTGTCAAGGTCATCAAAAACATGGAAAGTCTGAGAAACTGTCACAGGAGGTGCTGGAGATGTGACAGCTAAGTGTAACGTGGCATTCTGGATGGGGTCCAGAACAGAAAAAAGATACTAGATTAAGACAACGAGTAAATGTGAATAAAATGTGCATTTTAGGGCTGGGCACGGTGGCTCACGCCTATAATCCCAGCACTTTGGGAGGCCAAGGTGGGTGGATTACGAGGTCAAGAGATGGAGACCATCCTGGTCAACAAGGTAAAACCCCGTCTCTACTAAAACTACAAAAAATTAGCTGGGCATGGTGGCATGCGCCTGTAGTCCCAGCTACTCGGGAGGCTGAGGAAGGAGAATTGCTTGAACTCAGGAGGCGGAGGTTGCGGTGAGCCGAGATCGCGCCATTGCACTCCAGCCTGGGTAACAAGAGCAAAACTCCGGCCGGGCGCGGTGGCTCAAGCCTGTAATCCCAGCACTTTGGGAGGCCAAGGTGGGTGGATCACGAGGTCAAGAGATCGAGACCATCCTGGTCAACATGGTGAAACCCCGCCTCTACTAAAAATATTTAAAAAATTAGCTGGGCATGGTGGCGTGTGCCTGTAATCCCAGCTACTCGGGAGGCTAAGGCAGGAGAATTGCCTGAACCCAGGAGGCGGCGGTTGCGGTGAGCCGAGATCGCGCCATTGCACTCCAGCCTGGGTAACAGCGAAACTCCGTCTCAAAAAAAAAAAAAAAAAAGAAAAAAGAGCAAAACTCCATCACAAAAAAAAAAAAAAAAATGTGCATTTTAGTTAATAACATATCAGTATTGGTCATTATTTGTGACAAACATGCCATACTAATGTAAGATGTTAATAATAGGGGAATGTGGGCTGGGCAAAGTGGCTCACACCTGTAATCCCAGCACTTTGGGAGGCCAAGGCAAGTGATTACTTGAGCCCAGGAGTTCAAGACCAGCTTGGGCAACTTGGTGAAACCCTGTCTCTACCAAACATAAAAAAATTAGCCAGGCATCGTGGTGCATGCCTGTGTCCCAGCTACCTGGAAGGCTGAGGTTAGAGGATCCCTTGAGCCCAAAAGTTGAGGCTGTAGTGAGGCATGATCCTGCCACCGCATTCCAGCCTGGGGACAGAGTGAGACCCTGTCTCAAAATAATAATAATAATAATAATGATAATGATACAATAGGAGAATGTGGATGTGAGGTATATGGGAACTCTGCATTGTTTTCTCAACTTTTCTAAAACTCAAAGTATTCTAAAATAAATGAATTTTTAAAAAATTAGCCAAATGCATTTCTTCTAAAAAAATTTTTATACTAATTGCTGCTGTTTTTTTTTGAGACAGAGTCTTACTCTATCACCCAGGCTGGAGTGCAGTGGTGCAATCTCAGCTCACTGCAACCTTTGCCTCCTGGGTTCAAGCAGTCCTCTGCCTCAGCCTCCTAAGTAGCTGGAATTACAGGCACACACCACCACACCCAGCTAATTTTTTGTATTTTTAGTAGAGATGGGGTTTTACCATCTTGACCAGGCTGGTTTTGAACTCCTGACCTCGTGATCCACCCACCTTAGCCTCCCAAAGTGCTAGGATTACAGGCATGAGCCACTGTGCCCAGCTGCTGCTCTCTTTAAAAACAGAAACAAAATGAATCAGAGCCCCATGAGCCTCCAATTTCTGAGTTGAGTGACCTTTTACAGGGTCACAGAATTAACCCCAGCTCTCTCAGTCCTTTCACTGATTTCTCTCTGTGGTGGAGCTGAGATTTGTTTAGGGAGGCGAGACTACAACTCCCAGAGTGCACCTGTGCGGTTGTCAGGAGCAACCAAGGAAGCCAACTAACAGCCTTGCTGGAGACTGAGGACTATCCTGGGCCTCACTGCCAGCCAGCCAGCCATGGGCCAGGATTATTACTCTGTGCTCGGGATCACTCGCAATTCAGAGGATGCCCAGATCAAACAGGCGTAAGTTGGGATGGGAGCCGGGCCTTAGGGGTATGCTGGGGTAGGCCCTGCCTTCGTCTCTTCCAAAATGAGCTTTCCTGCACAGCTTACAGCAGACAAGGTGAACCTTGTTCCTTCTTTCACTTCTTGCATACCTGTATCCTGGCTTTGGGCTGGGTTGAGACCCAGGTTGGAAATTTGAACTCTTTAGTTCCTCAATCTGCTACCAACCCATCTCCCTTTATGCTCCATGCCCTGGGTCTCCTCTCCTGGGTGCCTTGCTTTTCCTAACAATAAATAGAGACAAAGGAGCCATTAGAACTTTATCTTGAATATTATGGAGAATCAGCGGCTTGTGAACAAGGGCGTGGCTGTGCCTGATGGATATTACAAATTCGATTCTGGCCTTGATGGAGGTTTTCAGCATTGACTAAAGTACATCCCTGAATATCATCAGGTCTTAAGGGCACTCTGGTCCTAAGAAAGCCTAGGACAGGAGTCAGAACATTTTTCTGAAAACGTGTTTTTTTAAACAAATACTTATTGAGTGTCTACCACAAGGGTTGAGAGGGTACTTCATCTCCTGCTGCAGTGTCAGCAGCTGGAGATATTAAGTATGAATCTGACAGCGACGTTCCCTTTCAGAATAATCAATATCTCGATTATCAGAATAGATAATCAAGACCTGATGCAGCTTGATTTTGTTGCTGAATAGATATTGAATAAGTCACCACAACTGTGATGAGTGTTACAAAAGAGGAAGGACGGGGGGCTGTGGACATTATCTTGGAAGGAGAGAGACCCCTTAGGAGGGTGTTTGTAGTAATCATGGCAAAAGATGAGGCCAGAGAAAGGGGAGAGAATGGACTTGACAATTAAGTGGATCATTGGAGGGTAAAGAAAAGAGTCCAGGATAACTCAATCGATTAAGTTGGGCCGTGACAATAGCTGCATTTTTTGTGTATAGATGCTGTTCTGAGAACCTTCCATCACTGTTTCATTTAATCATCACAACAGCCCTATGAATTGAGTGCCATTATTATCCCAAGGACATGCACTAGTAAATGGTAGAGTCAGTGTTCAGACATCAGGTCTGCCAGAGTTGCTGATCATGGGCCTATTCCTGGGTCAGGTCCTGTAGGGGATCACTGGGGTAAGTGGAGAGTCTGCAGTGTTGTTGGAGAAAAAAAGACACAAACTCATGAAAGAATCTGAGAACAACTCAGGAGAATGTATGATGTCATCCACTCTTTGGAGCATCTCATTGACCAGAGGGACCTATCCAGGGAAAGGTAATCAGGAAGAAGGGCAGTGGGAATGCAGAAAGATTAGCACAGCTTAAGCACTGGAAAGGGCTGGATCAGAGTCCAGATTCACTTACCTGCTAGCTCTGTGACCTGGGCAAAGTACTTAACCTCTCTGAGCCAGAAGTTTTCCCATGTCAAAATAATAATAATAAAGGTTGTTCTGAGATTGAAATAGGATTAGATGAGATAATGCATGTGTCAGCAACCATTTGCATGTGAAATCATGTCATATAAAAAATGTTTAAGGCCTGGTGTGGTGGCTCATGCCTGTAATCTGAGCAGTTTAGGAGGTCAAAGCAGGAGGATCCATTGAGTCTAGGAGTTTGAGAGGCCAGCCTGGTCATCATAGGAAGACCCTGTCTCTACAAAAATTTAAAAATTAGCCGGGCAGGTAGCACACACCTGGGTCCCAGCTACTTGGTAGGCTGAGGTGGGAGGATTGCTTAAGCCCAGAAGGTAGAGGCTGCAGTGAGCTATGGCTGCACTACAGCATTTCAGCCTGGGTGACAGCAAGAACTGTCTCAAAAAAATAAAAATGGCCGGATGCGGTAGCTCACTCCTGTAATCCCAGCACTTTGGGAGGCCAAGGCAGGGTATCACTTGAGGTCAGGAGTTTGAGACCTGCCTGGCCAACTTGGTGAAACCCCATCTCTACTAAAAATACGAAGAATTAGCCAAGTGTGGTGGCACACACCTGTAATCCCAGCTACTTGGAAGGCTGAGACAGGAGAATGGCTTGAACCTGGGAGGCGAAGGTTGCAGTGAGCTGAGATCATGCCATTGCACTCCAGCCTGGGTGACAGAGTGAGACTTCCATCTCAAATAAAAATAAAAATAGGGCCAGGCCCGGTGGCTCATACCTGTAATCCCAGCACTTTGGGAGGCCAAGGCGGGCAGATCTCCTGAGGTCAGAAGTTCGAGACCAGCCTGGCCAACATAGTGAAACCCTGTTTCTACTAAAAATATAAAAATTAGCTGGGCGTGGTGTCAGGTGCCTGTAATTCCAGCTACTCAGGAGTCTAAGGCAGGAGAATTGCTTGAACCTGGGAGGCAGAGGTAGCAGTGAGCTAAGATTGAGCCATTGCACTCCAGCCTGGCAATGGAGCTAAACTCCATCTCAAAAATAGAGCAAAACTCCATTTCAAAAATGAATAAAGTAAAAATAAAAATAGAGTGCTTAAAAGAACTGTGTATGTTTCAAAAAGCAGTCCTTAACCCTTTCTCCCCTTTAACAACTCTAAGCCACATGTATGACATGCTCTCTCATGGGAGGTCCTAGACATTTATTAAAAAAAAAAAAAAAGAGCTAAACTTATATAAGGAAGAAAAGCACCATGATGGTTTATAATTGCCCAGGATTCATAATTGCAATGTTCAAGCTGTGACTTCATCCCTTTCCCACTCAGGAAAGCAGGTGAATGAGAGAGATGTTACTGCAGAGATAATTTTGAAACCACTCAAATTTATATGAAAAAAACTAAACCCTTCTCAAACTTGTTACTTTTTTTAAATTTTCTTTTCTTTTCTTTTTTGAGACAGAGTCTCTCTCTGTCACCCAGGCTGGAGTGAAGTGGCATGCTCACGGTTCACTGCAACTTCTGCCTTCTGGGTTCAAGTGATTCTTCTGCCTCAGCCCCCAAGTAGCTGGGACTACTGGCATGCACCACTATGCCTGGCTAATCTTTGTATTTTTAGTAGAGATGGGGTTTCACCATGTTAGCCAGCCTGGTCTCAAACTCCTGATTTCAAGTGATCTGCCCGCCTTGGCCTCCCATAGTGCTGAGATTACAGGAGACCGAGGTGGGAGGATCATTTGGGGCCAGGAGTTTGAGACCAGCCTGGCCAACATGGTGAAAACCCATCTGTACTAAAAATACAAAAATTAGTCAGGTGTGGTGGCACACGCCTGTAGTCCCAGCTGCTTGAACCTTGGGAGGCAGACGTTGCAGTGAGCTGAAATTGTGCCACTACACTCCAGCCAAGGTGACAGAGTGAGACTCTGTCTCTAAATAAATAAATAAATATAACTGATTGTGACCTTTGTACCTGAGAAAGGCTGGTTTGGAAGGCTGTGACAATTGTCTTCAAGTCTCTGAAGGTAGTCAGAGCCATCCCACAGTGAGATGGGCTGCCCTGCAGGGTGGTGAGCGAATATCATTTATTTACTCACTCCTGCTCAGTGCCTAGCACTGGGGCTAGAACTGGATGTAGCAACTCTAGGACCTCAGAGTCTATTAGACGGATCAACAGACACCTGGAACACAGCGCTGCTGAGGACTAGGATCAAAGGTGCTGGGGACTTGGGCAGGGGAGTCTAACCTAGAAAGGAGGCTAGCAGTCAGGGAAGGTGCCCCGGGGGATTTGGCCCCTGAGCCAATGGTTGAAGGATGAATTAAAAATTGCCCAGAGAAGCTGGGAGGGGCTGCAGAGGGGTGAGTCATGCAGAAGAGGTCAAGGGAGCAGCCAGAGAGAAGAGTGAGTGAGGCCAGAGAGAGAAGCAGGGCTTCAGATCTTAGAGTTTTATGCTGGAGACAATGGGGGAACCAGTGAAGGGTTATGCCAGGAGAGGAACCTTTGTCAGAAAAGATTTCAGAAGGGTGGGCTGGGCATGGGGGCTCACACCTGTAACCCAAGCACTTAGGGAGGCCAAGGTGGGCGGGTCACCTGAAGTCAGGAGTTCAAGACCAGCCTGGCCAACATGGGGAAACCATGTCTCTACTAAAAATACAAATATTAGCCAGGTGTGGTGGCACATGCCTGTAATCCCAGTTACTTGGGAGGCTGAGGCAGGAGAATCACTTGAACCCAGGAGGCAGATATTGTGGTGAGCAGAGATCACGCCACTGCACTCCAGCCTTGGCAGCGGAGAGATTCCATCACAAAAAAAAAAAAAAAAACAACAAGTATTTTAGAAGCATCAGCATTAACAAGAGCAGAGAGAGAGAGTGTGAGAGCAAGAGATATCATCGCAACTGGCAGCACACAATGTAGTGCAGAAGGGGCCACCGGAGCAGAAGACATGGTTCTGCAATACTTGTAGGAATAAAGAGACAGGAACAGAACATTGTATTTATTTTGAGACAAAGTCTCACTCTGTCACCCAGGCTGGAGTGCACTGGCACAATCTCGGCTCACCGCAGCCTTCATTTCCTGTGCTCAAGCAATCCTCCCACGTCAGCTTCCCAAGTAGCTGGGACTATGGGTGTATGCCACCATGCCTGGCTAATTTTTGCTTTTTTTTTTTTTTTTTTTTGGTAGAGTCAGGGTTTTGCCATGTTTCCCAGGCTGGTCTCAAACTCCTGAGCTCAAGTGATCCTCCTGCCTTGGCCTCCCAAAGTGTTGGTATTACAGGCATGAACCACTGCACCTGGCCCAGAAAATTATTTAGAAGGAAAACCCCATGTGACTTGATGACTGATGGGGGAGGGGTGGAGGGGACAAAGGAGAACTTGGAATCAAAATGCTCACATTTCTGGCTGCAGTCCCTGGGGAAAAAATATGCAATGAAAATTTACCTGGTGGCCAGGTGTGGTCGCTCATGCCTGTAATACCAGCACTTTGGGAAGCCAAGGCAAGTGGATCTCTTGAGGCCCGGAGTTTGAGACCAGCCTGGTCAACATGGTGAAACCCCATCTCTACTCAAAATGCAAAAATTAGCCAAGCATGGTGGCTCATGCCTGTAATCCTAGCACTTTAGGAGGCTGAGATGGGCAGATCACCTGTCAGGAGTTTGAGACCAGCCTAGCAAACATGATGAAACCCCGTCTCTACTAAAAATACAAAAAGCTGGGTGTGGTGGTGTGCGCCTGTAATCCCAGCTACTTGGGAGCCTGAGGCAGGAGAATCGCTTGAACCCTGGAGGCAGAAGGTTGTAGTGGGCCAAGATGGCACCATTGCACTCCAGTTTGGGTAGCAAGAGGGAAACTCCGTTTCAAAAAAAGAAGAAGAAAATTTATGTATCTGGGCTCAGTGAATTTATGACACCTTTGAGAGGAGATGGCAAGTAGGTAGTTGGATGTAGTCGTCTTTGGCTCGGGGAAGTGATCTGGTTTGGGATGGAGATTTAGCTGTGAGAGGCAGAAGCCAGCCTCTGGGGTGAGAAGAGAAGCCGCGAACTCTGGGATGGCGGCGAGGCGTGTGTGGGCAGTGGAAAAGCCAGCGGAGGCGCGGTGGGGGTCAGCTTGGGCTGAGTGACAGGCGTCTGCGCTGGATGCCTCCTGTGCAGCCCTTCAGACCCACTGCCCCAACTTCCTGCCCTGCTCGGCTCCGGGAGGCTTCCTTGCCCTCAGCCTTCCAGATGCAGCCGGCCCAGGGGAGAAGGGGCTTTATTCCCCACTTCTCCTCCTATGGGGTCTCTTCAGTCAGCTGTATCCCTTGACAGAAGGTCACAGCTCCGCTGAGGCCCGTCCGCACACTCCGACGGACACCTCACGGTTCCTGGTCTGGGAAAGCTGCACTCGGCTGCCCCTGGTGGTCTCCCTCTGCCCCTCCTGCACCTGGGAGAATGGTCCCTTTATTAAATGGTGAAACACCGTCTCTACTAAAAATACAAAAAAATTAGCTGGGCATGGTGGCGCGTGCCTGTAATCCCAGCTACTCAGGAGGCTGAGGCAGGAGAATTACCTGAACCCAGGAGGTGGAGGTTGCGGTGAGCCGCGATCGCGCCATTGCACTCCAGCCTGGGTAACAAGAGTGAAACTCCGTCTCAAAAAAAACCCTCTCCACAAACTACTCAGTCCGCGCCCTCTCTCCCTCACCCCGGGTCACAGCTGATACACATCTTCAGATGCTGCCATGTCTGCCCCTCAGAAACAGGCCAGCTGCTACCACTCGTATTAACCCTCCCTTCTCCAGGTACCGCAGACTCGCGCTTCAGAACCACCCGCTGAAGTGAAATTTTCAGGCAAATAGCAGAGGAAGAAGCAGAAACAGAAGTGGGGGGTGGGGGGGATGAGCACAGAGTGGGTGGGGGCGGCACAGGAACTGGACGGGCACTGAGCGCCTCAGCCATGCCCGCTGCACACCCGATTGTGGCTCATCCTCCCAAGACGCCTGTGTGTCTGCTCCGGTCCTCAAAGAGGCAAACAGGCTTAGAGGCTCAGGAAATGTACCCGGAGAAACCGTGAAGGATGAAGGGAAGGGAGCAGGAGCGCGCAGGGAGAGCCACCAGAACATAGTGCAGCCCGACACCTGTGAGAGGAGACAGGGAGGGGAGGAGCTCAGCCAGGCTCTGAGGAGCCCTCACACAAAGCTTGCCCGTGGGAGGAGTTCCTTGCAGGAACAGGCCCTGATATCCCCACCACAGGTAAGCATTGGTTGGGGCAGCTCGGGGGCAGTAGCTTCAGCTCAGATGCCCAGGGGGCAGCTGCTGTGACGGTCAGTGAACTGTGCTCCCCAGACCAGCTACTATTCAAGAGCCGAGAAGCGCACCTCGCAGCCACCACAGCCAGTGAAGCCACTCCGGATTTATCGCGAGGCAGGAGTGGACAGAGTACCGGCTCTGAACTCTGGTCTGCCTTCAAAACCAGGCCAGCTGATATGAGTTGCATTAACTCTCCCTCCTCCAGGTACCGCAGACTCGCCCTTAAGAATCACCCGCTGAAGTCAAATGAGCCATCTTCAGCAGAGATTTTCAGGCAAATAGCAGAGGCCTACGACGTGCTGAGTGACCGTGAGTGGCTGTGGGGCTGAGCAACCTCCTCAATTAAGATCATTCCTTTTTTTTTTTTTTTTTTAAAGACAGAGGTGCCTCCTTTGCCAGGCACCAGGCTGGAGTGCAGTGGCGCGATCTCAGCTCACTGCAACCTCTGCTTCCCGGGTTCAAGCAATTCTCCTTCCTCAGCCTCCCAAGTAGCTGGGACTACAGGCTCGCGCCACCACACCCAGCTAATTTTTGTATTTTTAGTAGAGACGGGGTTTCACCATGTTGGCCAGGATGGTCTCGATCTCTTGACCTCGTGATCTGTCCTCCTCGGCCTCCCAAAGTGCTGGGATTACAGATGTGAGCCACGATGCCTGGCCAAGATCATTCCTTAAGTCTCTAGACTGTTGGGTTTTCTGAGGGGGCCCAATAGCGGGGAAGTATGCCTCTTCCCTGCCCAGAATATAGACACACAGAGAAGACAGAATACGGAACTGCCTTTCTCAGTAGAAGCAAGCTGAGGTGGAGGAAATGGTGTGTGGAGCCTAGGATGACACTGACTTGCTCACCCAGGCAGGCAGTGCGGGGGCTGAGGCACATTCCCCACGAACCCTATGCCTTGCCAGGATGGGACCATCTCCTGTAGGAACAGTGAAGGGCTTGCAGCCATGGGGAAGAAGGCTGACAGGAGGTGTGTCCTCCTGTCCCTCCTAGAGGTCGCTCCCAGTGGCTGAGTGTCCATCTCCCCCAGGCCAGCAAGAGTAGGAAGAAGCAGAGAAAGGCCAGGAATAATTAGGAAATCTCTCTCCTATGGAGACCATCAGAGTGAGGGAAGTTTGATCCCCACCGCAGCACCCAGGGTGGTGCTGGGGGGCTTTCCCTGAGGGCTTGTCCTAGAGACTAATCCCAGTTTCTGCAGAAGTATAGCTAGGCCGGGCGCGGTGGCTCAAGCCTGTAATCCCAGCACTTTGGGAGACCGAGGCGGGTGGATCACGAGGTCAAGAGATCGAGACCATCCTTGTCAACACGGTGAAACCCCGTCTCTACTAAAAATACAAAACATTAGCTGGGCATGGTGGCACGTGCCTGTAATCCCAGCTACTCAGGAGGCTGAGGCAGGAGAATTGCCTGAACCCAGGAGGCGGAGGTTGCAGTGAGCCGAGATCGCGCCATTGCACTCCAGCCTGGGTAATAAGAGCGAAACTCTGTCTCAAAAAAAAAAAAAAAAAAGAAGTACAGCTAGAAGATCACTAAGGTTTCTGCAGAAGTACAGCTAGAAGATCACTAAGGTTTCTGCAGAAGTACAGCTAGAAGATCACTAAGGTTTCTGCAGCCCCGAGTTTTCAGGACTTCAGGATCCTTAGACTCTAGGATTTCAAAGTCCTAGAATTTGGAGGCTCCAGAATTCGTAGCTTTTTAAAATGTCAAGGTTCTACGATTCTGTTTGCCCCAGATAAGACAGTGGCCATGATGACTTAGGCCAAATCCCAGGGCCATGGCCTGAGCCTCAGTCTCTCAGTTATCCCCCCCAGTCCCTCAGCCTGCCCCCAGCAAACCCAAGGCTTTCCCGTCTCTCTTCTGGGCTACGGGAGCCATACCTAAGTCCTCACAGAAGGAAATGGAACCCCTGACTCCCAGGGTCTCATCCCAAAGACTGCCAGACAGCAGGTGCTTTGGAATCAGGCTGCTTCTGCCCCTTCTCTTTCTCCATATCCACCTGCTTCCCAGCCCCTCCACCTATCTCAGCCCCCAAAGTTGGATGCCTCCTCAAGGTGATGCCCATCCACAGCCGTGAAGAGAAGCATCTATGACAAGTTTGGAGAGGAGGGCCTGAAAGGTGGGATTCCTTTGGAGTTTGGATCCCAGACACCATGGACAACTGGTTATGTCTTCCATGGCAACCCCGAGAAAGTGTTCCATGAGTTCTTCGGTGGAAACAACCCGTTCAGTGGTAAGAGATCTTCCTCCCCCGCCCTGCATTATAGAGAAGGACACAGCTGTAAAAGATGCTTTTCACTGAATAGTTTTTTTCTTATTTTGACTTTAATAAATATATATAATACCTTGCAGAAGAAAAAGTAAAACAGAATTCATCGAAAAAGAAATACATTCCAGCCCTCCATTTTCTCCTTTTTTTTTTTTTTTTTTGAGATGGAGTCTCATTCTGTTGCCTAGGCTGGAGTGCAGTGGCACAATCTCAGCTCACTGCAACCTCTGCCTCTTGGGTTCAAGTTCTTCCTGCCTCAACCTCCTGAGTAGCTGGGATTACAGGCACCTGCCACCACACCCAGCTAATAATTTTGTATTTTTTAGTAGAGACGGGGTTTCGCCATATCTGCCAGGCTGGTTTCGAACTCCTGACTTCACGTGATCTGCCCACCTCTGCCTCCCAAAGTGCTGGGATTACAGGTGTGAGCCACTGTGCCCGGCTAATTTTTGTATTTTTAGTAGAGACAGGGTTTTGCTATGTCTGCCAGGCTGGCCTCGAACTCCTGACCTGAAGTGATCTGCCCATCTCTGCCTCCCAAAGTGCTGGGGTTATAGGTGTGAGCCACTGCACCTAGCTGATGTTTGTATTTTTATTAGAGATGGGGTTTCATCATGTTGGCCAGGCTGGTCTTGAACTCCTGACCTCAAATGATCTGCCCACTTTGGCCTCTCAAAGTGCTGGGATTACAGCTGTGAGCCACTATGCCCAGCCCAGCCCTCCATTTTCTTCCCCAGAAGCAGCTACTAGGGAAGCAGCTACTTGTAAAGAGTTTATGTATCCTTCCAGAAACTTTCCATGCATGTATGAGCTATATTTGTTTTTACATAAGCCTTTTATTTTGTTAAGGAAATAGGGCCACGTTGCACACAGTGGTTTTTTTTTTACTTAATATATCTTGGAGATTATCTTATACGTTATACTATATATAGATCTACTTTATTCTTTTATATGCAAATCTATATATTATGTATAGCTCTGCATAAGATTTCATTGGTCAGATGTCTATTAGGGATCCATTGCAGAAACAAATACTGTTCTAGCTATATTAAGCAGAAAGGGATTCAAAACAGGGAATTAGGTGCTTTAAAAAATCATTGAGGCCAGGTGTGGTGACTCACTCCTGTAATCCCAGCACTTTGGGAGGCCGAGGTGGCTGGATCGCTTGAGTGTAGGAGTTCAATGCCTACCCGGGCAACATAGCGAAACTCCATCTCTACAAAAAATGTGCCAGGAATGGTGATGCGGTCCTATAGTCCCAGCTACTTAGGAGGCTGAGGTGGGAGAATCACCTGAGCCCAGCAGGTCGAGGCTGCAGTGAGCCAAGATCAGGCTACTACACTCAACCTGGGTGACAGATTGAGACCTTGTCAAATCAATCAATCAATCACTGAAAGGCCTGGTAAGAAGGCTCTAGGCTGGCCCTGTAGGAAATCTCCCAAGAACACCACCTCTAAACTGGCCCACAAGGAGAGCTGCTGTCTCTGTCACAGTCCTGAAGATGGAATCAGGAAATGTTACCGTTGCATTGCAGAACACGCCATAAGTGTAGCTGCAATTGCTGCCCCACTTGCCTCTGACAGGCACAAAACTTGTGGGTGGACACAGAAAGGCTGCTGCAGAAAAACCCAGTGTTTCCATGACAGTGCTCACCAGCTCCAGACAGAGCCATAGACAGATGCCTGCTGCCTTCTTCCTGCCTTCCAAGTAGCTCAAGGTTTACCTGATGAACAGAATTCAAAGCCAGAACCTTGGAAAATCTACAGATTTTCTAGCAGGGAAGGTTTGCAAGAAGGAGGACAGAGCGGATGCCAAGTGCCAGCATGGCTACCATGGGTGTTTTATAATTTATTATTATTTTTGAGACTAAGTCTTGCTCTGTTGCTCAGGCTAGAGTACAGTGGCATGATCTTGGCTCACTGAAAGCTCTGCCATCTGGGTTCAAGTGAGTCTCCCGCCTCACCCATCTAAATAGTTTGGATTATAGGTGCATGCCAGCATACCCAGCTGATTTTTGTATTTTTAGTAGAGATGGGGTTTCCACTCAAGACCGGCCAGCCTGGTTTTGAACTCCTGACCTCAAGTGATCAGCCTCGCTCAGCCTCCCCAAGTGCTGGGATTACAGGCGTGAGCCACTATGCCAGGTCGAGTTTATTATTTTTAATTACTGTTTTATTAATGGGTAGTTTATTTCCAGTCTTTTGCTAATATTGTATTTGTGGCAAGATGCCCCTTGTCTCTTTTTCAGTTAAAACAGTTCTTGTGCCATTTGTAGTCTCCCTACTAAATGGAAAGCTCCTCCAGGTCTGATTATCTCAGAGTAGCCAAACCCCAGCCTAGCATCTGACAAGAGTGAGTGGATGGGTGGATGCATGAAATGAAGGAAGGAAGGAAGGAAGGAAAGATGGATGAATGAATGAGTGGGCATATGAATGAACTGATGAGTACCTGGTGGGTGGGTGGGCGCATGATTCCAGGTCTCAGACAAACTGACCAAGAGTTGATTTCTGAGGCTCAGAATCATCTTGCAAGGGCAGTGAAAGGAACTTACACCTGATTTCCTGACTCCAGTTATGCCCACATAGGGCCTAGATTTTCACTGCCTGTTTTCTCCCACACCCATTGCACCTTCTCCCTGACAATACTTCAGCCTTTCTGAACTTCAAACGTTCTCTCCTCTTCTCCGTGCCAATATGTGGGTTAATAGCCCCTCCACCTCAGAGACTGCTCCCACCATGTACCGCCCTCACGTGTCTGCGGGAGGAAGCTGAGTTTATAAGCTCCATGTGAGACTGAAAACATCAAGGGGCTTTGGGCTTGTTTGCAAACCATGCACTGCCATTTGTGAACCATGTGATGCTGGGCAAATTTCTTTACCCTTCTGAAACGCCAGCTTCCTAACCATTACATAGCCAAAATAATAATTAAGGCTCAAGGGCTATTACCAGATGAGATAATGTTTATGAAAAGGGTCTTTGCAGTTTGAAAATGCCATACACCTTGTCTCACTATCTGTTTCAGTTCAAAGGAGCCAAGTGAGTCTACAGGGGCATCGCTCATTGGGAAAGGTCAGGCTCAGGGTCTGGGCTTCCTTAGGCAGTGCCCAGAAGCTATACTGCCACAGCACTCCACTCCAAGTGTTCCTGAGACCCATCTCCCTGCAGGGTTGAGGACTGGGCTTCCTGTGGCCTGGCTATCCAGGTGGTTACTGCCTGATACTCCATAGGCCTGGGTGAACAAGTGAATTCAGTAATGCAACAGGAGGACCAGATGAGTCACAGGCCTCTTGATTACCCATCACATCTTAGAGGGACATCATGTAGTCACCTTACTGTCCCTGCCTAAGGTCATTTCACCATTCTAGCCCGTGAAGTTCATTCCATGGCATTAACCATGAGAGGCAGAATATAGAAACTCTTAACCATGGTGCCTCCCCGAGTTTACAGCTTATGAAGGGCTTCCACATCCAGCAATGCAGCATGACATAGTGGTTAAGGGCACATGTTCCATAGTCATATTGTCCTGTGGTTCAGATCCCAACTCTACTGCTCACTAGCTATGGGAACTTATGCATTTTGTTTGCCCTCTCTGGGCCAATAAAATAATAAGGTAAGGTGCCAAAAATAGCAGCTGATGCAAACTAAGCTCTCAGCAAGTTTTAGCTCTTCATCTTAATGGTGGAAGGCAGGTCAGGCATTATTACCCCATCCCACAGACCAAGACACTGAAGCCCACGGATCATACAGCACATCAGGGGCAGATCAGGGAGGGGGCTCTCTTTGCACTGGGAAGAAGGCTGGGGATAGCAAGAGGGGTTATGTGTATAGAGCTGAGTCGGTGGGGGAGGTGGCAGGGGCAAAGAAATTGAGGAAAGAGGAGTTTGGGGGATGCTGGTGGCCTCTCAGATTGTTAGGGACCAACGCTTTCCCTCCATCATCTCAGCCAACAGCTTTATAGAAACTTGAGTCTGGGGTCTTTAGTAGTCTTGGGCTGGGCTGGACAGTGAAGGGGAGAGGAGTTGGGAACAGTAGGGAGGACTGGGCAGCTCTGACCTTCCTGCGAAAGGTTAGGGTGTGGTGGCTCACACCTGTAATCCCAGCACTTTGGGAGGACAACGCCGGCGGATCACGAGGTCAGGAGTTGAAGACCAGCCTGACCCACATGGTGAAACCCTGTCTCTACTAAAAATACAAAAATTAGCTAGGCGTGGTGGTGGGCACCTGTAGTCCCAGCTACAGGAGGCTGAGGCAGGAGAATCACTTGAACCTGGGAGGCAGAGGTTGCACTGAGCCCAGATCGAGCCACTGCACTCCAGCCTGGGGGACAGAGCAAGACTCCATCTCAAAAAAAAAAAAAAAGGAAAAAAGAAAGGCTGACAGCAGTCTCTTCTGGCACTCCCGAGTACAGCCACCAGAGGGAGCGCCTCTCTTTCCTGAGACAGAGTTAAAGGTACCCAAGCTGTGAGTAAGAAAGACAGGGAAGCGGAGCGTTGGGAGGCGGGTGCTGAGTGTATGATAAAATATATTGTTTGCTAAGGACAGCGGCAAGGAAAACCTGGCCGCCCCCACCCCCCAGTGGAAAACTGCTTGGGGCATTCTAAAGTAGCAAAACAGTATATGCGTATCATACACTGGTTAAAGCAATTCTTTAAGCACGGGTGTGTGACCCTGCCCCCATGGCTCTCTCGTGAATACTTTCTAGTTTGTCCTTGATCAGTGGTAAGCAGGCACCAGCTGCCTACCTAGTTTATCTTGTTTCTATGAGGAAACAGAGAACACCTGTTCGTTAATAATAATCACCTGTTCAGGGAGAATAAATACGTGGGTCAGCGTTTGCTTGAGGCTCTCAGCCCGGAATGCTCTTGGCCCTCGCTAGTCCCTTGCTGTTTTAACTGGGTGTCTGCTTCTTAATGCCTTCGGCGCCGTCTGGGTGGGGGTCTCTACAGCCTCAGTAGCGGGCGATATCCCAAGTGGGGGTGAAGCATTGGGAAGTGACAAGGGATGATAATCATTGCATTTGCAGTCGAAGACAGCTTCTTGACCTGGCCAGTCTAAGAGGTGGTTATGGGATGGTGGGTATTACATGGGGCACTGAAGAGGTTGGTGAGGGGTGTATCTTGAAGGGGAGGCAGAGGGTGTGTGTGTGTGGTCTCTGGATACAATTTCTCTTACGACTCTCCCTACCTCCTGCAGAGTTTTTTGATGCAGATGGAAGTGAGGTGGATTTGAACTTTGGGGGGCTCCGTGGCCGAGGGGTCAAGAAGCAGGACCCCCCAATCGAACGGGACCTCTACTTGTCCCTGGAGGACTTATTCTTTGGCTGTACCAAAAAAATTAAGATTTCCAGAAGGGTGAGTACTCAGCTTGTTTCTCTTGGGAGCCATTACCTACATCTCCCCTGCAGCGTGAGCAGCTGCCTCCTCTCTTACCCAGGCAGGAGGACTCGGGCATAGTCTCTGACGGAATTGGGGAACCCTAGATTCAGAGAGCTAGGATATTAGAATTCCAGAATCCGAAATGTGGAAGGGACAATTGAAGATATTAGCCCAGTTCTTTCCTAGTGCAGGAGTGCCCTCTGCAGTCTCCCCAACAGGGACAAGCTCTTTCCCTTCCTCTCTCTCAGTTCAGCCCCATCCCTGTGGGAACCGGAAGGGCTCTGAATGGGAGGAGTCTCCTCTGAATTCTTCTCTCTGGGCTTTACCAGACCCTATTCCCAGGATTTCATCAGGGTGTATGCCTTGTGCGTAAGAAAGAACAGCGGGCATAGAGTGTGGGCTGGGACAGTCCCCAAGGTTGATGGGTTGAGGAAGACCCTCAGTGCCTCGTGTCTAGTCCTTGGCTTGGCTCTGTCCCATGGCCCAGCCCTGTGTCAGGTATAAGAGCAAGCCCCCTCCACCTTTGCCCAGCAGAGGAGATGCTGATGCGGCCATGCTTTCCACAGATGGCACCCATCTGGACATGTGATTGGGGAGTGGAAGGATGACACCATGAGGAATGCACTGGGAAAGGCTTAGTGCTGATTTCCATGTTCTTTCTCTCTTTGGGATTAAGAGACTTGCTGGAGGTTCAGGGCTGGGCCTCTGGGATTTGGAGAGAGGAACAGAGTACATTTTTGCCCTGTATCTGTTAGTGGCCAGGGCTGGAGCTGTGTGTTTGTTTGATCACTAATGGTGACCGCTTGGCATTTCAGGCCCCAGCCCCACGGCATGCCCTGGCGTCCTGAAATCATCAGTTCTTGGTTGTCGTGGCAACGGGGTGGGAGTGGGCATGGCTCTGGGCAGGCTCTTCCCATTGCTAGATTGAGCTCAAATACTAATCCCATAGAGCATTTTTCACATGTGCAAAGGTCAACTGGGTGTTCATGAAAATCTGAGCAAATCTCGACTGTGCTCATGGAAGTCCTGAGCAGACCTCCCCACACCTGATGTTGCTGCAGGTGCTGAACGAGGATGGGTACTCCTCCACCATCAAGGACAAGATCCTGACCATTGATGTGAAGCCCGGCTGGAGGCAGGGCACACGCATCACCTTTGAGAAGGAAGGGGACCAGGTGAGGGGGAAGAAGCTGATTCAAGTCAGTCACTGGGCTCAGGTGGTGGGAAGACTGAGGAGGAAAGGAGGGGAAAGGAGGAAATAGTTCTTCCTGCCCCTCTGAGCCTTGGTCTGTAGAGAGCCCAGTCTGCAGACTGGGTGAGATAGGATTCCATAATATTCCTTCCAAGGAACAGAACCTCCCAACGCTTCTGTAAACAGGAAGCCCAGGGACTATCCCCATTTTACAGAGTGGGAAACTGGGGCCCAGAGAAGAGTAGGACTTGCCCAGGGCAAGAACATGAGAGCTGAAAGGAGATCCCTGTCTGAACTCCAGTGTTTTCCTGATTGCCTTCAGTGCTTCTCAGAATAAAGCCCAACTACAGGAGGTACTTAGAAACCATTTAATCATAATAATTTTATTTACATATTTTATTTATTTTGAGACAGTCTCTCTGTTGCCCAGGCTGGAGTGCGGTGACATAATCTTGGCTCATTGCAACCTCCACCTCCTAGATTCAAGCGATTCTCCTGCCTCAGCCTCCCAAGTAGCTGGTAGCTGGGACTACAGGCATGTACCACCATGCCCAGCTTTTTTTTTTTTTTTGGAGACAGTCTCACTATGTCACCCAGGCTGGAGCGCAGTGGTGTGATCTCAGCTCACTGCAACCTCTGCCTCCTGGGTTCAAGTTATTCTCCTGCCTCAGCCTCCCCAGTAACTGGGATTACAGGTGCCTGCCACCATGCCCAGCTAATTTTTGTATTTTTAGTAGAGACGAGGTTTCTACTAAAACCCATGTTGGCCAGGCTGGTCTTGAACTCCTGACAGGTGATCCACCCTCCTCAGCTTCCCAAAGTGCTGGGATTATAGGCGTGAGCCACTGCACCCAGCCATCCAGCTAATTTTTGCATTTTTAGTAGCCATGGGGTTTCTCCATGTTGATCAGGCTGTCCTTGAACTACAGACCTCAGGTGATCTACCCTCCTTGGCCTCTCAGTTTCTGGGACTACAGGCATGAGCCACCCCACCTGGCCTATTAATAATCAGTTTAAATTAAATACTATTTAAGTAAAAACATAAAATTATTGTCCAGGGTGTGCTGAGTCCTTAAGTCCTGAGAAGAGGCAGAATGATGGGGTATTCAGAGCCAGGAGAGATGCATTCCTTTACCTGTACTTTTTGCCCCCTTTCTTGCCTATGAAATATCTACTTCTGGTCTGGCCTGGTGGCTCACACCTATAGCCCCAGCACTTTGGGAGGCCAAGGAAGGAGAATCGCTTGAGCTCCAAAATTAGAGACCGGCCTGGGCAACATAGTGAGACCTTGTCTCTACTGAAAATAAAACAGTTACCTGGTCATGGTGGTATGTGCCTGTGGTTCCAGATATTCAGGAGACTGAGGCAGGAGGATCTCTTGAGCCCAGGAGGTCAAGGCTACAGTGAGCTATGATCATGCCACTGCACTCCAGCCTGGGCAACAGAGCAAGACCCTGTCTAAATAATAAATAAATAAAACATCAACTTCAAAGAAACGTGCTTCAAAACCCAGCTTCAGTGTTCCCTGCTCTGGGCAGCCTCCTCTGAGCCCCAGCCTCTAGGCTTCCCTTTATCACGTCCTGAGTGTGCTGGGGATTCATTGTCGGTTCCTTTCCCTCTCTGCCGTAAGACTAGGAGTTCCTTGGGGTTAGGGGCCTATGGGCTGCAGTAACCCTTTTCTGTCCCCAGTGCCCAGAAGAGACCTCAGCAGAGTTTTGGTGACTTAATGAAGTTTGGGAGAGGGGTGTCATGCCTGGAGTTACTAGCAGGACAGAGACGTGTGGGCAGTTGCATGATGCCCAGCTCAGTGTTCCACCTGCCATCTGAGGAAGCCTCTCCACTCCTCCAGCTGAGTGTTTATTTTGGGCATGCTCAGTACAGAAGTGATTATGGGGAGATTCATCTGTGTAAGCTTCTCAGGCTTCTAATCCATCTGGGCTACGGGGGCCAAACTGAAAAGCCCCTTCCGGAAAACCTGCTCTTATCTCCCCATTGTACAGATGAAGACGTGGAGACAAGTAGAGGCAGGAACTTGGCCAAGGTCACATAGTCAATTAGTCCTTGTCACCCTTTGGCCTCCTCTGCCCAGGGCCCCAACATCATCCCAGCAGACATCATTTTCATTGTAAAGGAGAAGCTACACCCTCACTTCCGCAGGGAGAATGACAACCTTTTCTTCGTGAACCCCATCCCTCTGGGCAAGGTGAGTGGGTAAAGCACAGGACCAGTGGAGACAGCATCAGAGTGAGCCACACCTAGACTTGGCCTCCCCTGCTGCAACCACGTGCCGTCAATCACTAAGCCCTGTGGGTTCCACCCTCTAAGTCACCATCCACTTGATCCCCTCTGCTCATCTGCACGCCTGGTTCTGTACACCAGATCTGCGCAGGAGGCCCTCCCCACTACTGCTCATCTCCAGGCTCTTCTTGGGGATTCTGCCCCACACCTCACTGTCCAAACATCTTTGTGCTACTGGAGGCCCTCTGCAATCTGCTCTCTGCTCACCCCTTCCCTGCCCTCCAGCCCCCGTGCTCTGTAGCACCCTGCCAGCATGGTGCATTTACATGCCTCCATTCTTATTTCTGCTGGGCCCTCTCCCTGGAATGCTGTCTACTCACCTCACCCCATAAGGGTCCTCCTCAACAGCTACCACCACTGTTTTTTTTTTTTTTTTTTGCAATATAGATATAATATATAGGGATATATAAGAACTACAAGAGAATCCCCAAAACCCATAAAGTTCAAATGTGAAAACAGAAAAGTTTTTAACACTGGAGAATTCGCTATGGTGAGCCCAAGCAATATATAGAAAAGAGTCTAGAAAAAAGGCTTAGGTGTTAAATAACTTTTGACTTCCTCTTGCTCAGAAAATGTCGGAGTGCTGTAAAGTTCCTTAATGCGACTCGCCCAGCATTAAGGAAGTGGACCACTTCCTGCCCCACTCCTGAATGGTTTAGGGACCTCTCCTTGGCTCCCACAGACCCCTTTATTTCTCTCTCCCTCTCATTACATTTATACAACATCCATCTTAGCTGCCAGATTTCGAGCTCCTTGATGGCAGGAAATTGCCTGGGTCATTCACCTATTCTGTAACAGCGTTGTCTCCCTTGTGCCCAACTCAGTGTCCGGCACTGGACAGGTTCCTAAGGTGCCTTCTAAACAGGAGGGCTATGGTGACCCTCCCCAGCCCCACCTCTGGCTCTAACCCTCCCTAGGCTCTCACCTGCTGCACTGTGGAGGTGAAGACCCTCGATGACCGTCTGCTCAACATCCCCATCAATGACATCGTCCAGTGAGTCCATCTGCCTTGGGCCCCAGTAGCTGAGAGAAGGGCCAGCCTGGGATTTAGTGGGTAGTGTCAGACATAGCTGCCCAGTAGAGTTGTACAGGCTGCCCCCAGCACAAAGGTTCCCTGTTGAGGGGATGGGAGAGGACCAAAACCAAACCCACACTCTGCCCAAGCTGTGGGCTGCAATCATCTGGCAAAAGGAATACCTTTTACTCATTGGCACAAAGCCACTGCTGAGACTAGAGGCCCTCAGTGTTGGGAAACCCCTGTGGCCACCACCCCCACCCCCAAAACTTCTCATTAGAGTTCTGAGTTGCATCCCTTAAGTCCCTTTCCAAGAAAGGCGCTCTGCCAGTGCAGGGGTTTGCCTGGCAGCCCAGCGCCCCCGCCCCCACCCCAGGGTTTGCTCACCTTTTCTTCCCGTTTCCCATATCTTAAAATTCTGGAATCCCCCATCAGAGACTCAGTGTGAACAGGTTTTCAGAGAGCAAGCTGTTTGGAACAAGCCAGTCTCCTCTCCCTTCCCAACCAGTTCTAAGAGCCACTGCAGGTGAAGGCTGCAGAGACTGTCCCCTTCCGGGGGTTATGTAAGTAGGAGTTATGTGACAGGCACCTGCTGAGGCTACTCTGGGATACCCTCTAAGCTCCTTTCTTTCATCCTATTTCAGCCCCAAATACTTCAAGAAGGTGCCAGGTGAGGGGATGCCATTGCCAGAGGACCCCACTAAGAAGGGGGATCTCTTCATCATCTTCGACATCCAGTTCCCCACCCGCCTGACGCCCCAGCAGAAGCAGATGCTGCGCCAGGCACTGATGACATGACTGGTGGGCTGGAGCAGGGGTGAGAGGAGGCTAGCCAGGCCTCACCCTGCCTCTACCCCCCACAGCCTCTGGGTGTGCAGGGGAGCCTGCTGCACAGATGACACTAGGGTGGGATGGCGAGGGCTTAAACTGACATAATAAAGATGTATTTCCTGTCCTCCAGTGACACCCACGAGTGCGTTGGAGAGGAGCTTCATATTAGCCCTTCCTATGGGGCACAGGGAAGAGAGAGACCCAAGGAGCTGAGGGCCTGGGTCCCTGTCCTGGCTTTGTGGGAAAGGGCAGGTAAGAGTTCAGATCCTCTATGCTTCCACTTTGGTAGAATGGGGCAGGGCTGTTTAGCCTCTGAGGGTCCATAGCTCTGCTCTGGCTTTTCATGACAGAAGAGACAGTCTCTGGAGCATGATATGGTCATGTTAGAGAAAGAAAAACTAAGGCACAAAATAAAACACGTTGCAGGTCACTCAGGCCTCAGTGCCAAAGCTGTCATCAGAACCTTGAAGGTGGCTGGGTGTGGTAGCTCACCCCTGAACTTTGGGAGGCCGAGGTGGGTGGATCACTTGAGGTCAGGAGTTTGAGACCAGCATGGTTAACATGGTGAAACCTTGTCTCTACTAAATACAAAATCTAGCCAGGTGTGATGGTGGGTCCCTATGATCCCCTCTACTCAAGAGGTTGAGGCAGGAGAATTGCTTGAACCCGGGTGGCACAGTTGCAGTGAGCTGAGATCGCTCCATTGCCCTTCAGCCTGGGCAAGAGTGAGACTCCATCTCAAAAAAACCCAAAAACCTTGAAGGTTGCTTCCTACAGACTCACCCTGCATAGAGAGGCAGCATAAAGATGTGTGCACTGGAAACAGCATTGGTTCTCTCTCTCTGGCCTCAATCCCCTGGTTTGTGAGATGGGTCCCGGGCAGGGAGATCTGGCAGGAGGAAACCTGAGTTCTGGTCCCAGCCCTGCCACTTTGTCCTGGGACCAGTTACCACTCCTGTCTTTGTCAGCAAAGCAGAGCTATAATGCCCCTCACAGGCATGTTGTGAGGATTGAGATCATTGATGTGAAAGTGCTTGGTGAACTTGCTTAGAGTCAGGAAGTGGTAACAGTACTGCTGCCCCCATGGCCTGGAGTTCCAGCCTTCAGGTCCATCTAGGCCTGTGTAGATGACACTTGCCTCCTCAGAGTCAACAAGTGTCTTATGCTCCCCTTCCGTGCCAGGGAGGTTTCCTTCTAGAGTCTGAGCTTGGGTGAGGATAGGTCCAGGCTTATGGTAGCCAATTCCATGGAATGCCTTCAGAGGTACCAGAAAAGGCCCATGTTCCCCAGATTGCTTAGGACTCCACCATTCAAAGCTCATCCGCTTAAGATTTTTTCTTAAATAGTTCAGCATTTTTGTCATTAAAAAATCACCATGGGCTGGCTGAGGTGGTTCACACCTGTAATCCCAGCACTTTGGGAGGCCAAGGTGGGCAGATCACTTCAGGTCAGGAGTTTGAGACTAGCCTGGGTAACATGGTGAAATCCCATCTCTACTAAAAATACAAAAATTAGCCAGGCATGGCGGTGTGTGGCCTATAATCCCAGCTACTCAGGAGGCTGGGATTTGCTTGAATCCAGGAGGTGGAGGTTGCAGTGAGCCAAGATGGTGCCACTGCACTCCAGCCTAGGGACAGAGCAAGACTCCATCTAAAAAAAAAAAAAAAAACCATGAAGGTAGCTCCCAAAAGATCCTGAGATGAAGACTCTGGGACCACGGCTCCAAGAAGCATTTCGGCACAGTAGTATGTGGGCTTTGGAGTCAGACATACCTGTTCTGGATCCTAGGTGTGCTATTAGCCAGCTGTATGCCTTTGGGCCTCTCTTGAGCCCATTTGTTTTGCTCTTTTGAGACGGAGTCTTGCTGTATCACCCAGGCTGGAATACAGTGGTGCAATCTAGGCTCACTGCAACCTCCATCTCCCGGGCTCAAGAGATTCTCCTGCCTCAGCCTCCCAAGTAGCTGGGACTACAAGCACATGACACCATGCCTGGCTATTTTTTGTATTTTTAGTAGATGGGGTTTCAGCATGTTGGCCATGGTCTCATCTCTTGACCTCATGATCCTCCTGCCTTGGCCTCTCAGTGCTGGGATTACAGCCGTGAGCCACCACACGCAGCCTGTGCCCATTTCTTAAAGTGTCTCAGGCCTTTCGTGGAAACCAGATGGTGAGGTATGAAATAGTCTGGGGCAGGACCCAGGTGGCATGGGGTGGTGAGAGCTGCCCTGTTCTGAGAGCAAGCCCTAAATTGGAGGGCAGGGCCAGAGCTGTGAAACTCCTTAACTCCAAGTCTCCTGTAGGGAAACAGGAAAGCCTACTCTTTATAAGGCTCTGAAGGAAGCCTGGGTCTCAGGCCTGAAAGTCCCTTAGGAGATTTGTTACCTCCATGATCTTCAGTGCTACCTTGAATTAGGCAAAGCAGGGCTTATCATATGCCTACTTAATAGGCATTAAAGGGTTGGGGACCAAAGAGAAGCTATCTGTGATCAGAACGACTGAGGCCCACTGGTATGTTTTCCAGTGGTTCTTACCACTGTTCCCAGCTCACTGTCCCAAGGTCACGCCCAGAACCACAATCAAGTTGGGTAACCTAGCGTCTATTAACGCTGCTGCGTGAACCAGTTTGCTCACACCCACCCAGTCTGTTTGGCTTTGATACACACCTAGCAAACTGCCCATCCATCCTTCAGTCCAGAGCAGAGCAAATAGCCTGCCTCACAGAATTAGTGTGAAAAGGTACATAATGAAGTAGCCAGGTCCTCTGTATATGTCACCCCCTGCAGCCTGACTGGGCTGCCTGTCACCTTTGCCTTAGTTTGCCGCCTTGTAGCACTCAACCCTGTCCCTCCCAGGGACTATGGAGCCTCAGTTCAATTTGTCAAAAACTAAGGAAGCTGAAGAATCCTGGGCCCCCATTCCTTCTCCAGGAACCAGTTTAACACCATGGCCCTCAACCCAAGCACAGAAAGGTCCCAGCCTCTGGCTCTGACCACTGGCCTAATGAGAAGAGGAAGGAGCAGTGGTATCAGCTGCTTGAGGCTGAGGAATGGGGGAGGGTGGTCATGTTCTTAGGGCCTGGCTCCACAACTGTCAAACAGGCTTCCCCAAGGATCCCAGCATTGGTCTCTGGGGCAGTCCCAGAAGGGGAAGGAGGACTCGGTCCCGGTCCCAGTTCAGCAGCAGACTTTCTGGGTGTTCTTGCCTGCATCGCCTGAGTCAGGCCTCAGTTTCTTCAGACACCTACATACTGGGCCTGAGTGACAATTCTAAGGGCCCAGCCCTACAGGAGATGCCTTTGGGATTCTGGGACCTCAGTCTCTACTCCTTGAAATTGCAGTGGCCCTGCCCACCTGCCTCTGAGGGCAGGTGATAAGAACAGGGATGGAGAAGCTGAGGCCCCTATTCAGCCAAAGTCCTGGCTTCTTGTGGCCTCCTTGGATCCCTGGCGGGGGCGGAGCAGGTAAAGGGGGGCTGTGGGGGTGGGACTCCAAATGGAAAGTATCCTGGTTGGGTGCAGTGGCTCACACCTGTAATCTCAGCCGGCAGATTGCTTGAGGTCAAGAGTTCGAGACCAGCCTTGCCAACATGGCAAAATCATTACTAAAAATACAAAAATGAGCCACGTGGTGGTGTGTGCCTGTAGTCCCAGCTACTCAGGAGGCTGAGGCAGACTGCTTGATCTGGGAGAGGGAGGTTGCAGCGAGCATAGATTGCACCACTACATTCCAGCCTGGGTGACAGCAAGTGAGATGCTGTCTAAAAAAGCCACAATGGAAAGTATCCTTAGGCAAGACTAGATGTTTGCCCTGTAGCCTCAACCCAACTTCTGCAGAGTCAGGGCCTGTCCCACCCAGTTCAGTAACACTGCCTCTATGGGTGGGCCTGGGGAGGGTGGAAGAAGCCTGACTTGCTCTCGCAAGGTCTGGGCCTTTGGAGGAGGGTGGGTCTTCCATTCCAATTTAAAATACAGTTAAGTTGATAGGATCTAAGAATCTCATGTTCCTCTAGAACAGCAACAGATGCAGGGCAGACAGGAGCACTCTCATTGTGCCGATAAACAGGCCTGGGGTTGGAATAGAAGGCACTAGAGTACCAGATTCTGAGTAAAACCTCAAGTGGCCTGGAAAAGAAAGGGGAGGTAACAAAAAAGCCATGGGTGGCTCCCGGACTCCCCATGTTAGCACAGGGCCTGTGTCTGGAAAGAAATGGACTAGATGACCTCCACAGGCTGCAGATTGGATGCTGGAGGTGGAAGGTGGGTCCTCCCTTGCCCACCAGGTACCAAAAGGGCCACTGGACCAAGGCCTCTGGTAACAGCTACAAGAGAGATAGGAGACACCAAGGTTGAGCTTGCTTTATGGGTGACAAGTGGGCTGGGCTGGGCTGTGGGGGCAGGACAAAGATTCTGGTTGAACTTTCCAAGGGACTAAGGGCTTGGGATCCAGGCTGGTACCAGGCTCCCACCAGCACAGACAATGGAGAGATGAGAATGTGGGGAGGGTAAAGGAGTGGAAGGAAGAGGTGGAGAAAAAGGGAGGCAGGGGAGGGAGGGAAGGAAGAAAAAGGAAAGCATTGCCCGACTAGAGCCAAAGCCAATCAGCAGCAGGAAAGGCTCAGAAGGGAGCCTCTCGGGAAGTGCAGGCAGCCATGAGGGCCCGTTTCAGCTGCTCATAGGTGACAAACATCACCACGTTCCAGGAACCCAAGCGGAGAAAGGAGGGCATGAACCTAGAGGAGAAAAAACACAGGTCAGGGAGGCACCTCCACCTCCCACTTCCCTCACTGGGCCTGGTGACCAATCCAACCCAGTTTCTGTCCCAAAGGAGGCTGGGAGGACTCAATGAATTGAGCTCACAGCTGCCTGACTATAAGCATGAATTTCCTGAGTCTACATTTTAACACCTAAAAAATAACGATGGTAGCAACTCTGGGAGGAAGGAATTAAGGGGATAAGTGAAATGCCAGGACCAGGATCAGAAATAACCCAATGCTTGGTTGCTACTCACTTCCAGGTGGTTCTTTACCACCTGTGATGGACATGCATAGCCAAGGGGCCTGGACTGGGTGGGGAGGATCAGAGGCTCACCCTTTGTAGAAGGCTCGGGGCCCCTCCTTCTGGAGCATGGTAAGGGCACAGTGGCCAGCGCTGCTGTACTGGCTCAGGGCAGAGTTCATGTATCTCGTCTTGACCACGTCTACAGGGGAGGCGATGACAGTGGTACAGAAGCCTGCCCCAAAGGCAGAGGTGAAGTGGCACGGGAGGTCATCTGCCAAGGACAAGCAGGCAAGAAAGTCAAGATTCCTCAACCATCTCATTCCAGAAGGGAGGAGAATTAAGTAGCTGAGTTTTCATTATTTTAAAGACAGAGACCGGGCACAATGGCTCACACCTGTAATCCAGGACTTTTGGAGGCTGAGGTGGGTACATCATTTGAGCCCAGGAATTCAAGACTGGACTGGGCAACATGGCCAAACCCCATCTCTACAAAATATAAAAATTAGCCAGGCATGGTGGTGCGTGCCTATGATCCTGGCTACTCAGGAAGCTGAGGTGGGAGGACTGCTTGAGCCAGGGAGGTCAAGGCTGCAATGAGCCATTAATCACACCACTGCACTCCAGCCTGGGGAACAGAGCAAGACCCTATCTTAAAAAAACAAGAGGGCCCGGCACAGTTGCTCACATGTATAATCCCAGCACTTTGGGAGGCCAAGGCAGGTGTATCACTTGACGCCAGGAGTTCGAGACCAGCCTGGCTAACGTGGTTAAACTCCATCTTTACTGAAAATACAAAAATTAGCCAGGTGTGGTGGTGCACACCTGTAATCCCAGCTACTCGGGAGGCTGAGGCACAAGTTTCACTTGGACCCAAGAGGAGAAGATTGCAGTGAGCTGAGATTGTACTACTGCACTCTAGCCTGGGTGATAGAGTAAGATTCTCAAAAAACAAAGAGAAAGGGACTCCAGCTGAGGCCTCTTTTGAGGACCTGAGTCATTTTGCCAATCTAGCCTCAGTTCCTCAATGTGCAAGGTAGGAGCTTCGTCGCACTTGGCTTCAATATGGCATATAATCTTACTATCCCTGTGAAGTGCACATAGGATGAAAAGATGTGGTCTTCTGGTGTCAACTAGACCCCCATACCTGCTCTTGGCATGGGGAAGCGTGAGACCCAGCACCATCTACCTTATGACTTACCTGTCATGAGGTTGGCTTTCAGAAGGGTATCCTTGATGAGGTCATAGGTCACTAGCTCAGCACAGTTGACAATGGCATTACGAGCAACATTGGGAGAGGTCCCTGTAGGAGGCGGGAGATCCTGTGTGAGACCAGTGAATCGGGGAATAGGAAAAGGGGAAGGAAAAACAACTGGTACATACCTTTCCAAAGGCCCCGGAACCCTTCCTCTCGGGCGATGGTCTTGTAGGCATCGACAGTACTTTGGTATCTCCGACCACCTCCAGCCCGGGCCTGAGCTTGGAACCGGACCTTTACCACATCTGTGGGCTGGGCCACAGCAACAGCCAGGGCACCTGTGGTGCTGCCTGCTAGGAGGCGGCTCCCAATGCTGGCATCTGTGGGTGAGCCATTGGGTCAGTGGCCAGTGGGCTTACACTCGTTTTCTACCTCATCTCTCCTCACCAAAACCACCCTGTCACTGTCATCTCCTGCTTTTGGGAACAGAATCCAGAAGCTTTTGGCCTTCTACAAGCTCTTGCTCTAAGAACTCCTCGCATCAAACAAAACATCCCTATGAATGTCTATTCCTTGCTAGGGACATAGCAAGGAGTAAGACCAGAATGAAATTTAGTGCTTTCTTTCATAGAACATTTTCATTTACTTGCTCATCCGCCCTGAGAAATCACAACCATTTCCATCTGACAAATGTGAAAACCAAGGCTCAAAGAGAAATGGCTTTCTAAGGACTGGGACTCTTAAGACTTCGGATCTCATGTCAGTTTTATTTCTTCCTGCCATGTGATCTTGGGAAAGACAGCCTTTTGTTCTGGGCTGTTCCTTCATATGCAAAACGGAGGGTTGGCCTGCATACTAAGGAGGTGAAAGGAAGAATGCTGGCCTCGGAGGCAAGTGTCCTGTTTTCTGGCTCTCTACTGTGTGCCCTTGGCCAAGTCCCCCTCTACTCATTGCCTTCCTGCCTCAGTTTCTTCATCTATAACACTGGGATGATACTGCCTACTCCCAAGGTGGTGGTGAGGACTGTTATGGGATGATGCCTTGCTCAGAGCCTGGCATAGCCCCGGTGCTCAGGAACTATGTGGAGGACCAGGGCCCCTTCCAGTTCTCTGTTCCTCTGCTCTTCCTAGGGATCATGGGGCCTAAAGAACCTATATGGCTGAATGAACTAAGATCAATCATCACTGAGAAAAAAGGGCCAAGGGGCCTATGGTCTAGCTCCATACTCACGTTCAGAGCCCTTGGTGTAGAACTGTTTGACAGAGTCATAGAGGCCGATGCGGACAGAAGCAAAGCTCATTTGGCGCTGCAGGCCAGCAACCAGCCCATTGTAGAGGCTTCGGGGGCCTTCGGTACGCACCATGGTCAGAATGGTACCCAACACACCGCGGTATTGGGCACTGGCTGTAGCACGCACTGCCCCCTGACTTTCCCCTTGGATCTGAAAGGCCAAGACAGTAGCTACAGGGATAGGTAGGCTGTCCTTCCCTCCAGCCACCCCAATGCTCCAAACACCTCACTGCCCCTTGAGTAGGGAAAATAAACACCATCAAGACCCCCAGGCTTCATCTCCTCACCTGTAGCCGGACTTTAGCAGTATCCAGAGGAAAGGTGATGAGATCTGCGATGCAGGCAGCTGTACCAGCCCCAAGAAACTTCACAGTGGCAGTAGGGGGCACATCTGTGGCCTTGAACCCAACCATGATGATTTCCTGCTACCTCCCAGGAGATGGAGAAAAACAGGAGATGGAGAAAAACTGGAGATGGAGGCACCTTTAATCAGCAACAAGACGAGACAGAGGAACTCTGCCGGAATCTAAGCCAAGAGGAGAAAAGCCCCATCATCCACAATGTCCTCAGGCCCTCCCTGCTCACCATTCCCAACCCCACCTTCCCTAATAAGCACCTAGTCTCTCAGTAAGCCTCCAAGTGGCCTCATTAGGGAAAAGAGATGTGAGCTCAAGAGGTACGCAGTTAGGCACTGGTGAAGCAATTACTGCTCAAGCAGTCAAATACTTCATGAAGGGCTCCCTTCTTTTTGCTAATAAGGAAAGTCTGGATCAGAGCTCTCGGAGCACTGCCCCATAAACAGCCACTGGACCAGCCCTTTTTTTTGCTGGATGCAGAGATTTCAGTGATGATTCTCACATTCCTGCTTCTGTGATCCATCTGGAGAGCTGACAGAAGTGGAGAAAGGTTTCAGCCAGATGAAGACCCGACAGGCACAGACCCACTGTGTTATGTTCTGGATGTCTAAGCAGGAATGGTTTCCATGGGTATGGAATTTAAGTCAAGAAGAAAAGGGGCCGGGCGTGGTGGCTCATCCCTGTAATCTCAGCACTTTGGGAGGCCAAGGCAGGCGGATCACCTGAGGTCAGGAGTTCAAGACCAGCCTGGCCAACATGGTAAAACACTGTCTTTAAAAAAAAAAAAAAAAAAGGAAAGGAAGGGGCCAGGCACAGTGGCTCATGCCTGTAATTCCAGCACTTTGGAAGGCTGAGGTAGGTGGTTCACGAGGTCAGGAGTTCGAGGCCAGGCTGGCCAACATGGCAAAATGCCGTCTATACTAAAAACACAAAAATTAGCTGGGTATGGGGGCAAGTGCCTATAATGCCAACTATGTAGGAGGCCGAGGGAAGAGAACTGCTTGAATCCAAGAGGCAGAGGTTGCAGTGAGCCAAAATTGCAACACTGCATGCTACCCTGGGTGACAGAGCAAGACTGTCTCAAGAAAAGAAGAAGAAAAGGTAGGTACAAGATGACTAATTCAGTCCCTTCCCAGACCATCAGTCTAATCTTCTCCTCCAGTTCCCAAATAAGGTAGGATCTCTAAAGTCATTCTTTTAGCAAGACTGCTTTGCTGGGCAGTGGTTCACTGAATGCAGGAGATACTATCTACCCTGGAGGAGGCTTACTGTTAGGCACAGGGGGTGGGTGGGAAGATGATTCAAGCTGCACATGGGGCTTACAGGACATACCCTCAAAATGCAAAGGAGGGAACAACTAATGTCATCGGGAGAGAAGGAACAGTGGGAGATCAGAAAAGACTTCTTGAACTGGGTATAGTGGCTAACACCTGTAATCCCAGCATTTTGGGAGGCTGAGGCGGGCAGACTGCCTGCACTCAGGAGTTCCTGACCCGCCTGGGCAATGTGGTGAAACTCCGTCTCTACTGAAAGTACAAAAAATTAGCCAGGCGTGGTGGTGCGTGCCTGTTGTCCCAGCTACTCGGGAAGCTGAGGCAGGAGAATTGCTTGAAACCGGAAAACGGAAGTTGCAGTGAGGCAGGATCGTGCCACTGCACTCCAGCCTGGTGATAGTGCAAGACTCTGTCTCAAAAAAAAAAAAAAGCCGGGCGTGGCAACGCCCATAGTCCCAGCTACTTGGGAGGCTGTGGCAAGAGAATTGTCTGAACTCAGGAGGTAGAGGTTGCAGTGAGCCAAGATTGTGCCACTGCACTCCAGCCTGGACAGCAAAGTGAGACTCCATCTCAAAAAGAAAAAAAAAAAGACTTCTTGGGTTGGACACATGACTAATATCCATAATCCTAGCACTTTGGAATGCCAAGGTGGGAGGACTATTCGAACCCAGCAGTTCAAGACCAGCCATGGCAACAGTGAGGCCCTCTCTAAAAAATATAAATAAGTTAGCTGGCCATGGTGGTGCATGCCTGTAGTCCTAGCTACTTGGTAGGATTGCTTGAGCCCAGGAGGCTGAGGCTGCAGTGAGCTGTGATTGTGCCACTGTGAGAGAGTGAGATCTGGTCTCCAAAAAAAAGAAAAAGGAAGGACTTCTTAGATAAGGTAACATTTAGCTGGGTGATTTTTGGGGCTAATAGTAAACTCTGGGGCACTAGACTCCTCCTGGCCTAACGTGATGCAGAGAAAACGGCTCTCCATTTTGTTTGGGCCAGTTTCCTCTCCTCCAACATAAGGGGATCCACACTTAAACCACAAAAGAGGCAGGGATGAGGGGTACACATCAGGCTGTGAAGAGGATAAGGGAAACCAAAAGCCCCATTTTGTTCTGAGTTGGAACCACACCCTCCTCCACTGCCACAGGAGGAAGTGAGCCCAGCACCCTAGTGGGGGAGGGTGACCTGCTTCCTCCCCCCACCCCCAGCTTACTTCTTTGACTTCATTGGAGCAGCTGCTTTGAGTCCCACCTGTCTGCCCTTGTTGCTGGGGAAGGGAGTCAGCTGTGAACACAGAGACCCACGGAAATATCGGCTTCTCACTCCAGGTGGCTGGGGCAACCAGGGAAACAAAGATACCATAGCAACTACACTGGGACCGCCTACAGAACACGGCCTGACCTTATTCCTGTTTCCCTCCAGCTTGCCCATGAGGCTCAGTGAAGACTGGTGGGCAAATAACAGAGTGGGTTGATGAAAGTGCTCCCAGATTCCCCAGGTTCCCTGCTTTGACACCTCCTTTCCCCAGGAGGTGTTCCACAATTCTCCCCACCCCAATGCCCAGGGCCCTGTATTAGCTCCTCAGAGTAGCCCTGCAAGGTGGCTGCCCTTACTTCCAAGAGAGATGAGTAAGTACCACACCTACAGGCTCCAAAGTTGGTGGTGTTTGCTTTGCACTGCTGCCCAGCTCATTTCTTTCCTGTTTTCTCAGCCTCAGGCACAGGCAGTGCCTTTCACAAGGAAAGTTCTCTTGAGCTGACTAAACAGTCCTGAGAAGGCTCAGGCAAATGGTATCCCTTCTCTGGGCATCAGAGATATGATGAATGAGTCTATCACATTCCTGACCTTAAGCTGGGTTGCAGGGTGTTGTGAAGGCCAGAGAAGAATAAGACCCAGCTGTTGCCCAAAGACAGGTGCACAGAGGTTCAGCTGCCATTCTGATTATTGCCTTGGGCTTGTCAAGTCAGGTCCTTCAGAGGGTGGGTAAGGGGGCCCTACTAACAGCAATTAAAACGCAGGCCTAGAAATAATATTTTACAGTCCCCAGCAAATAACCAGTTTCAGAGCTGCAAAAGGCTGATTACTAATCTCGGTCTCAGGGACAGTCAAGTCAAAAGCTAGCACCAAAAATAGGAAGTTAGAACAATAGGTTCCTGTCCTACCTCTGCTGCTGGCTCCCAGAATGACCTGGGGCCAATCACTGTTCCACGTGGGCCTCAGTTTTCTCTTTCATAAAATGGGGACCAACAGCCGTGGCTTATCCCAGTTGGCTGAAGGGCCAGAATGAGAGTGGGAGGTGTGAGAGTGCTCTGTGAACTGGAAGAGCCACTTCACTGTGTGGGATGGGGGTGGGGATGGTAATTATTTTTGTTAATGTCCTGCTGACTACTGCTCCTAGACCACAGGGCTAGGAGGCAGCAAAAGATCTCTTCCTTGGACTGGACTCTTACCCGGCTTTATAAGGTCTCAGGGTGAGGCCTCCAAAATCAAGCTTCTCTAAAGGTGTCCCGTTCTTCAAAGCTGCCAGTGGCTATCATGGCCCGATCCCCTTGGTTTTCCATAGAAAATGGCTGGGAGACCAAACACCTAATGGTCATACTATGAGTCCTGTGGATGAGCAGAGGAGAAGAGTTTAGAAAGGGTCACCTGCCACGAGACACCCAAGTCCACCCAGTTCATACTTTGGAAGGGGGTGGGGACAGGGCCCATCTCGACCAGGGACTGATTAAGTGCACACACTGGAAAGGGGAACAGGGGGAGGAAACGGAAAGGGGGCGGAAAATGAACCTAAGTACACTCCCCACCCCCACCCTATCTGCTTAATATCACAAATTGGCTCTTGTCCAGGCTTCTGCTTTTGTAACACTCAGTACTCTAGATAAGCACCCCTCAGCATAGTCATCAGACTTTGGTGAGTGGGAGAGTTGTGAGGGGATCACGATGGGACAGACTTTCTGGGAATTGGCTAGAGCCCAGGTGGGGCTGTGAGGAGGCTGAAGGGGCTGGAAGCCCTGGAGAGGCCAGATCAAGCAGCTCAAAGCCCACCAGAAAAAGCCCCCAAGCCCCGGGAAAGGCGGTGCAGAAACACAGCCTGGAGCCGCCTGGTGAGGGAGAGGTCATTCTGGTCATCGCTGACCGTCCCCATCCAAGGCAGGGCTGGGCATCATGGTGGAAAGGAGGGAGTGGAAAGGTGGAGGCTCAAACGACAGCTAACTGAACCGGAGAGGGAAAGAACAAAAAGGAGTAAGGAGAGATAAAGAACCAAGGACATAAAGGACTACTACAGGCTGGACACCATGGCTCACACCTATAATCCTAGCACTTTGTGAGGCCAAGGCGGGTGGATCGCTTGAGCTCAGGAGATCGAGACCAGCCTGGGCAATATGGGGAAACCTCGTCTCTACAAAACACAAAAATTAGCCAGGCGTGGTGGTGGGCGCCTATAATCCCAGCTACTCAGCAGGCTGATCGCTTGAACCTGGGAGGTGGAGGCTGCAGTGAGCCGAGATTGTGCCGCTTCTCCAGCCTGGGAGACAAAACGAGTCTGTCTCAAAAAAAAAAAAAAAAAGAAAAGAAAAGAGTACAAACTTGGGTGGGAGAGAAGGGGAATGAAAAAGCGGGCAGCACACGAGGAACAGGTGTGGGGGGCGCAGGGCTGGGGCCAGGCTCACCGGGCCGTAGGGAGAACACGAGAGAGCGTGCGGTTTTGTCTGTCGGCTGGCGGAGAGCGCGTCGGGCGAGCGTGGACCGTAATCAACCAAAGCACGCGCGCGGCGGGGCTTGTGGCGCTGTAATGCGGTTCCGTGCAGGCGGCGGCGCAGCTTAGGTCTCGGAGGCAGGGCCCAGGGGAGGGGCCTACGGGTGGGCGCGGGGCGAGGCGGGGCCTGCCAGTTCCAACTAGGGTGAGGAAACTCTGGAACCACCGCCTTTCCGCGGGGGCCGCCCCTCCTAGGGTTCTCTGCGTGCCTTCCTCCACCCCCATTTCCGTGCGCCCCGATCACCGCGGTTAGTCCTTCATTCCCCGAGATGGTCACTCCCTTGCCACTCCCCGCCTCTGCCTCACACTCTCTTGGGCCGCCAACCTCTTTGTGAGGATGGCAAGACTGACGGCCAGAAAGGAGTCTTCTCCAGTCAAACACCTCTTTGCCTCCCAGCCAAAGCAGTTTCTAACAGGGTCCAGCGGGGTCTGGTCTAAGTGCACTTCCTCTTTTATGGGTCCAGCCCGCGACCCCCAAGCAGGGCAAACCACCCACCCTCCCGCCCGCGAGTTCGCGGCGGGCTCCTGCGGGGCGGGGCGGGGCGGGGTTTCGCTAGGCCTCGCTGTCGATTGGTTACAGCCGGGGCGTTGTCGGAGGAAGAAACCAATCAGAATTTCAGCAGCAGGTGGCCGGGTAACCGACTGTAGCCGTTGAGCGCGTCTGAGGTTCGCGCCTTCTCTGGCGGTGGAGCGACCTGGTCTTTAGGGACCCAGGATACTAAAGACCCCACCGGGGCGGGAGCACCCTCGTGATCTCACGCTCCCATACACAGACTAGCAAACGGGCTGGCTCCCCGCATGTGAAAAGGCAGAACCGGGCGCAGGCCAGTTGCTTGTCCAGCCCGAGGATGAGAAAAGGAGTCCCGGAGATGGACCAGGCTTGGTTCGCCTTTAATTGGCCGACCGTTAATTACACGTGGGAATGGCCGACGCGTAAACAGCTTACACTTGGGCCCCGTGGCCAGAACAAACACGTGCATTTGGGGCGTAGAAGGCCGGTATTAACCTCCAATTTACATTGAGGAAACAGTCCCAAACACGTTTAGTCACTGCCTGATATCACACAATGGCCAGCCCTGACTTACACCCTAGTCAGGCTGGCGCAGTGTGTGTTTTCACCAGCAGAAGGGACTGTCAGGGGAACCGCTGAGGGGACCAGAGTTGGGAAGGGCCTGGATAATTATAGCGGAAAAAAACAAAAAAACACGCCCAGCGCATGACCCTGGCAGAAGCTGCGTGGAAACAGAAGTCACAGCAGATTATTTCGGTCATGACAAGATCTTGCCATGTAGGAAGAAAAAGAAGGGAGAGAGAGAGAGAAGCAAGAAAAAGAAAGGAAGAAAGAAAGAAAAGAAAGATAAAATTATTTGTGGCACTGTGGGTCTCCCGACGCCAGCTTCTCTAGCTTTTGCACTGAGCTCTGTCTGGCTGTGCATTACAGGGAGGCTTGGCAACTTTGCGGTGAGATTGCTGACCAAGAGCAGGTCAGATGCAAAATCCCACAGACCAACAAGTGTCCCCCTGGCTATCCGAACGGAAGAATATGGATTCCAGAGACTATGTACTTACTGTTTATCCTTGGCAAAAGAGACTGTTAAAAGGATGATGTGTGGACCCTGAAAAAAGGGAAGTGGAGATCAAGCAGGAAGTCCTTAAGAAGTCCTCTTTAAAAAAAAAAAAGATGTGTTTAGAGTTTAAACGACTTTTATTATTTATTATTTTTTTTGAGATAGGGTCTTTGTTACCCAGGCTGGAATGCAGGTGGTGTGGTCTCAGCTCACTGCAGTCTCGATCTCCTGGGACCAAGCAGTCCTACTTCCACCCCACTAGTAGCTGGGACCACAGAGATGAGCCACCAAGCCTGGCTAATTTATTTTTTTTGTAGTGACAGGTCTCCCTATGTTGTCCAGGCTGGTCTTGAACTCCTGGCCTCAAGCAGTCCTCTGGCCTCATACTTTCAAAGTACTGGGATTACAGGTGTGAGCCACTGTGCCTGGCCTCAAGGAATCCTCTTAAATTTTTTTTTGGGAGGCAGATGTGAGCAATCCTATAAACATACAAAGACTGTACCCTTGGATTTTTAGCTTGCCCAAGTCATAAGATGTCCTGTGGACACACTGAAGAATGTATGGGTACAGATAACTATATTTTGAAAACTTGTGGCCGGGCGAGGTGACTCACACCTGTAATCCCAGCACTTTGGGAGCCTGAGGGAGATGGATCACCTGAGGTTAGGAGTTCAAGACCAGCCTGGCCAACATGGTGAAACCCCATCTCTATTAAAAATACAAAAATTAGCTGGGCATGCTGGCAGGTGCCTATAGTCCCAGCTACTTGGGAGGCTGAGGCAGGAGAATCACTTGAACCCAGGAGGCAGAGGTTGAAGTGAGCTGAGATCGTGCCATTGTACTCCAGCCTAAGCAACAGAGCAAAACTGTCTCAAAAAAAAAAAAAAAGAAAACTTGTTTCATATCTATTTCATTGAATTGTGAGTACACGCACACCACATGTTTATTTGTAAATATTACAAATTGACAAAAGTTTCATACATCTTGTTGTATAATTTTAACATCATCCCAGGAAACAGTCCACTTTGCTTACAGTATTGGAACTTTAAAATCTTTAAATACAAACTGTATTTGAAACACTGAAAATGAAAAACAATGCAAGAATGAAAACCGAAAACAACAGGTAATAAAAACATGAGAAAAACTTAAACATTTCCTTAGTCTCTGATAATATCTGCTAAAAATATTGAGTAGATTGGCTATATTAATTTTCCTCTCCTCATCAAACAAGCACACAATTATCTGATTGCATTTTTTAAAAGAAATCAAAAAAATTTGATGACCATACATTGTTTAAATTGGCATGAAACTGAATTTCTTTAAACCCACTTAGCAGATGAGAGGGGGCACAGTGGCTCATACCTGTATTTGGGAGGCTGAAGTGGAGGATCACCTGAGCCTGGGAGGTTTAGGCTGCAGTGAGCCATGGTTGTGCCACTGCACTCCAGCCTGGGTGACAGGGAGGCTCTGTCTCAAAAAAAAAACCAAAAACCTGTAATCCCAGCACTTTGGGAGTCTGAGGTGGGCAGATCACGAGGTCAAGAGATTGAGACCATCCTCACCAACATGGTGAAACCCTGTCTCTACTAAAAATACAAAAATTAGCTGGACGTGGTGGTGTGTGCATGTAGTCCCAGCTGCTCTAGAAGCTGAGGCAGGAGAATTGCTTGAACCCAGGAGGCAGAGGTTGCAGTGAGCCAAGATTGCGACACTGCACTCCAGCCTGGTGACAGAGCAAGACTCCATCTCAAAAATAAAAATAAAAATGGAAAAATTAAAAAAAAAACACTTAGGAAATGAAATTGAACCATATATTTGTTAATTTCCATGTCCATTTTGATGTTTGTTCTTCTTGGTTTTGGTTTCTAAAAAAAGGTGGGTGGGGAAATGGTGACACAAAGCCAGATGTAAATGAATTTTCCTTGGTTAGTAACACATCCTGTTTTTTTTTTTTTTTTTTTTTGAGATGGAGTCTCACTCTGTCACCAGGCTGAGTGCAGTGGTGCAATCTCTGCTTACTGCAACCTCAATCTCCCAGGTTCAAGTGATTCTCCTGACTTAGCCTCCCAAGTAGCTGGGAATACAGGCATTCCACCACACCCAGCAAATATTTGTATTTTTAGTAGAGATGGAGTTTCACCATGTTGGCTAGGATGGTCTCTATCTCTCTCTCTTTTTTTTTTTACTCATTCTTTCAAGCAAGATAATCTTTTTTTTTTTTTTTTGGATGGTCTCTATCTTTTTTTTTTTTTTTTGAGACGCAGTTTC